TTTTGCTGATCGTATGAAGCTACGATGCACCATCTTGATCGACAATCTCGAGCCTCGTATGGTACGTGATGATGTCAAGCGACATTGCAAGTATGAGTGCAGAGAGGCGAAAAGAAACGATTTTATGCTCTTTAACATCATTAAGGAGAAGGCACGGGCTCAGCACAAGTATCACTTGCTGTCGATGGAGCACAGATCCAAATCTGGATCTAACCGAAGGCCTAGTCACAATGAAATGAAGACTAAAACCGGTAGTGGGGAACTGCATCCGCTGTGGAAGCCCGTAGAGACGGCGCTCAGCGGAGTTCACCAACGAATAATTTCGGGTCTCAGCCCCAGAGGAAGGAGTCAAAGCCACCCAAGACTGGATGCTGGGTCTGTCAAGGCTCGCATTGGCTTCGTGACTGTCCGACAGCGACGGATGACGACAAGAGACGTGCTGCCGACAAGATGAAGGAAATAAAGGATCGGTCACGAGCCAAGGTGGTTCGGACTTTGCTTCAACCTGGGGAAGTGATGATCAACGAGCTCGTGGTCTTGCCGTATTGTGCTGACTCAGGATCTGACTCAACTGTTATCCCTCGTGCAGTGGTCGACGAGTTAGTTGCACTTGGTAGCGATGTGGAGATGCATGTCCTACCCTCTCCAATTGAGGCTATCGTTGCTGGAGGTTCTACAGTTACCTGTTTTGACTCTGTTACGGTGGATGTCGTGATGCAAACGGCAGCGGGTACTGTGAAGCTACCTGACGTGACCTGTTTGGTTATGGAGGGTGAAGAGACCGATTTTCTTCTTGGTAACGACACGCTCGTCTCACTCGGAATTGATGTAAACCAGCAACTTGAACAGCTGGCTGGAGTTCACTTCGTGAAGATGTGGACCCATTTGAAGACGATGGGTGTGTAGATCTCGAGCTTTCTGGTTTGGAAGTTCGCAGTAAATTGGAAGATATGGTGGTCGCAGCTGGGAATAATGGCTTTGACCCTGACTATCTCTCGTTTCTTCACGATACCGTGCTGGAGTATGAGGAGCGGCCCAGGATGTGACGGATTCTGCCGACGAAGCGGCCGGAGCTTACGGTTTCGCGGATTTTGACATGTCAAAGGGATTCTGGCAGCTTTCTCTACATCCTGACAGCCAGGAAATGATGAGTTTTGTTACGACCGATACTGTATGGACTCCTACGCGCGTTCCACAGGGAGCGAGTGATTCTGTACGCTCACCTACTTGTGTGGATTGACGATATTCTCGTCTATGCGGATGACACGCCTACGTTCATCGCTACACTTCGTGAGTTCTTTTCTATTGTCCGTACTCACCGGCTGAAATTCAGCGTGAGTAAGAGCTGTTTATTCCAGAAGGAGATTCGTTGGTGTGACCGCATCTTCAGTGGTACTGGCATTCGCCACGACCCTGAACGCATCAGTGCGTTGCAAGCTCTTCCCCTCCCTACTACAGCTGCTGACCTACAGCAATTTTTGTGCGCTGCTGGGTGGATGCGCGATACGTTGATCGACTTTGGACGCACCATGCGCCCGTTGTATGACAAGTTGGAGGCAGTTTTGAGTGTCAATGGGCGAACTAAGAAACTAGCGGCTGGGGTGGTTCTTTCGTAGACTTTGGACGAAGAAGACGTGTTCAACTCCGCAAAAACCCTGCTTGGTTCTTCGCAACTATTGCATTTTCCGACGACGTCGTCCACAGTTGCCGTGTTTAGTGACGCCAGTGAACTGGGGTGGGGGCTCGTCGTGACTCAAGTGGATGACCGGGACTCCGCATTACCTGCTAACGAGCAACAGCACCAACTTCTAGTATGCAAAAGCGGGATTTTCGACGAGACGGAACGTCGGTGGAGCATCATTGAGAAGGAAGCGTACCCGATCATTTGGGCTGCCCGCAACCTGGGTCATTTTCTCGTCCGCCCTTCAGGTTTAAGGTTGTTCTGCGATCACAAGAACCTGATCTACGTGTTCGCACCAACACACGAAGTTAAACGTCACGTGCGTGGCAAATTACAACGGTGGGCGTTATCTCTCACTGGTCTTCACTACCAAATCGACCACATCGAGGGTACGGCAAACGTGTGGGCCGATCTCCTCTCGCGGTGGGGCTCTCCTGGTGAGGCAGGGGTGCACGTGAAGTGCAAATTCGTCACGCTTAGCCAGCAACGCGTTGACGACGCGATTGAACGTCAACTTGACGAACTGCGTCCGCGTCAAGGCGACTTTGTCTTGAATGAGATCAGCCAAGTGCAACATCAACACAAGCGGACTGTACCCAGAGCAACGGGGTGTGATGACGATGGCATCGTGACTGTAGACGGAAAATATGGATACCAGAGTCCGTGAAGGAGCTACGACAGCGCATTCTCATTGTGGCTCATTGCGGTAGTCAAGGACACCGTGGACTTGACGCGATGATGACTACAGTCAAAGACCTTTTCTCGATCAAAGGTCTGGAACAACATTGCCGGCAATTCCTGAAACGGTGCCTTCTCTGCAAACACGTGAAAGGTGGTAATGTGATTCCACGCCCCTGGGGACCTACATACGACGCATCTGAGCGAAACGAGATGCTCCACTGGGATTTTCTTTTTCTTGGTGACAGTGTGGGTGAATGCAAATATCTACTCGTACTGAAGGACAACCTTACCCATTTTTGTGAATTGGTGGCTTGCTATTCGCCAACAAGTGTCCTGGCAGCCACTTCACTCGTGGATTGGTCAAAGCGTTTTGGTCCGCCTAAAAATTTGATTTTCGATCAAGGAAGTCACTTCAAGAACCAGGTTGTACAGCAACTTTGCAAACAGCTCTCCATTAAACAAGATCTAGTTCTAGCCTACGCTCCGTGGATCAACGGTACTATCGAGCGACTGAATCGAGATGTGCTGCAAGTTCTACGTGTTCTGTTGATGGAGATGAAGCTGGACACGCATGAGTGGGAATATCTCGTTCCTGTAGTGCAAGGGATTCTGAGTCACGCCCCAGTGGCTTCATTAGGCAACCGGTCCCCTGGTGAGCGTTTCACCGCGTTACCTAGGCCTACACCATTTGAGACTATCGTAGTTGAGCGCAACGGCAAGGCAATGATGGTGACTGAGCCTGGGACTATTCCTGACGAAATAGTGGAGAACATGCAACGAAGTCTACAAGAAATGCACAAAGAGGTGGTCGACATCCGGGAGCGACGTCGGTTGCAGAACATGAGCCGCTCTAACGGAGTACCATGCAATTTCGCTATCGGTGATTTCGTACTGTGGTCGAGGATCGACTCTCGCCTTTCGGTAAACAAACTACTCGCCCGCTGGGTGGGGCCATTCGAAGTTGTAGATGAACACCCTCATTCCTTTATGATTCGCCACTTGGTGAGTAGCCAACGCTACATGGTGCACGGGTCCCGGCTCAAGTTCTACCGTGACGGAAGCCTGGGCACCAGCGAGGAACTCCTGGCTCATGTCGGCAACCAAGGTATGGTTCTTGGCGTCGAAGATTTCAAGAATCACCGCAAGACCCAACATGGATGGCAGCTTCTCGTATCCTGGGTCGGTTTGCAGGACGAAGGAGACTCCTGGGAATTTCTTCAGAGTCTCTACAGTGATATACCTACGCGTGTGGAGAATTACGCAGCTCAAAGTGGCGACATCGAGTTGGTACAGGCCTTGTCGACACTTCAGCAAAATATCAGAGCCTAATTCGACGTGCAGGTCAAGTTATGGAGCAACTTCAACGTGTTAAAGTGCAACGTGACCTGTAACATTGTCCCGTCTCATGTATGGACTGTCTTTTCGCAGCAGGTGACACATTTCTATCAGTCGTGACATTTGGTGACAAGAGGCTCGACATTCGTATCTGCATATCAAGACGGTACTGGTATGGGTTCTTCGGGGGCAGTGTAGTGTGTGGCAAGCAAGGAGGCGTTCCTCAACGGGAAGGAGGCTATCCTGAATCAAGAACCCCATCCCAAACTACAGCGTCGTCTATCAACATGAAGTTGCAGTCTTACTGCAACCCTGATGCTCGACTCTCAAGGCTGTGCCCAGGGTGAAGCCTGTGGTCCTGATAGGAGTAGGAGTAGTCCAGTAGAAAGCAGGAGTAGGAGTTAGTCGGAAGGAAGCTCACTTCTTAACTTGCAATCAACAAGCATCAGCATTTCAGCAACGCAGAGCGGAAACTACCACACAATCTTGCAGTTGCCACGTCAGCTCCTTTCCCCAGCGCTCACAACTTTCCTTTGTTCTATAGAAAGTCATCATTGCGGTGACACACTCGCTAGATGAGAAAAAACACTTAGTTAGTGTTGCTCGAGCAACGTTAAATCAAATAAGCAACAATAAATGGGCAACGCTAATGTACCTTGAGAACGGATCGAGCTCTGGTGTGACCCAGACGGCTAGTGTTGTGAATGTTGTGTCGTCGGCGGAGCTTGGAGTACAAGTGAGATCCACAACATTGTGATCCTCGTTTTGAGCTTTGTGTTCAGCAGCCTGTTGTCATGACGTTTCACCTCCCTTACGTGTCTGTGTCTCCCGCGTAGGGTTTGCTCGTTCATAATACACGGGTGCTTTTTTAAAGTTCCGGCTACGTCTTTCAGACGTGTGGAGTTGCGCGCCCATCTAATAACGTCACTGACTTTGATAGTCAGACCCTCGGGATAGTCAATCACCGCGTAGCGAGGCATAGCAGCAATGGCCGACCAGTTCTGCCTCTTTTTCTTTCTAGAGTTGCCTTGATAAGGGCGAGGTAAGTTCAATTGAACACCTCGTTCTTGAACAACACAGTTCCGACTTTGAAGTTGTTGCCCGATCATGTTCACCAGAAGCGTCTGCTTCAGGTTTCTCTTCAATGATGAGCTGCGACTGTTCAGAGATGTTAATGTCGCCTAGGGAAACTTGGGACAAAGACACCTCTTCGTAGGCAGCGTAGGTGGACGGTGCAAATACAGAAAAAGACATGTCCGCAGCAGAACGCTCATTATCCAGCTGATCTGAGGTAACTTGCGTAGGTTCCACAGCTGACTCTTGGGATAACGTTGCTGAGCTTAACGTTGCCCCATGTGATAAAGCTGCTAGTTTGAGCAACGATACTGTTTCGGCTTGGGAGGTACAGTGCTCCTCCTCGTCAAGCGTATGCTCTACCACTTCCATTTCGCGCATTAGGTCCGCATCGTACGAGCGGCCTATTGAGTCAGCGTCTAGACAGTCGTCCTCAGAATCACTCTTGACGTCTTCGGCAGTACTTTCATCGTTGCTGGCTGCATCAGTGCAACTTGCCATCGTTTTTGTAACAATGTTTTCCCATTTTTCCAGCTCCTTGTAGAACTTAGAGATAGGTAGACTCTACAGCCGAGTGAAGACAGGGTCAAACACTATCTTGGCTAACGAGTACTTCTCCTCCGATGACATCATGACCACGTTGCCGCTTTCCTGTCGCCTAAGGCGCAGATAAGCGACATGAGCTCTGGGTGTGTGTTCGACTTTAATAGTACTAACGCTACTTTTGTTCGATAACGTTGCACAAGTGTCTTTGTCAGCCCGAGCTGTATTTTTCAGCCTTATGGAGCTAGTGACCGACTGTAATGATGCTGCACCCACTTCGAACTTTCTATAGACCTTTAATGTATCGGTCATGTTCCAACGACTCGAAATTGTCATTGTCGGCATCTCTACGAATCCATGCCCGCACCGGCAAATAAACATGATGTGTTGACAAGGCAGGCCGTGGCTCTTTGCAAACAAGCATGTACAGATCCATTCCAGATCATTGCATGTATACGTTTTTGCACCCACGTACACATCCCAAATTGACAGCTGATCTTTGCGCTTTTCGCATGACATGCTATCCGATGCGACCACGAACCGGTCCCATTGTCGTCGGACTTTTGCCAAGACGTAATCGCTCGTCAGTGCGGCAGCTCGCCGCAAAAAACGGGAACCGTGTCCGGGTTTCGAGATCTGCAGTTGAGTTTGTGAATCGCCTCCAAAAATTGGTGTGTGATGCTGACCTCGTGTCTTAGGAGGCTGGATACGGCCTGATCCACTGCAGTTTTCTTTCCAAGGAGTTGTTTCAGCAAGTGCTAATTCGATTCGACGCGGTTTTTGGTAGTGTAGTGTGGTGTAGTGATTTCCAAGTAATCGCTGAAGTGGCTACATTCAAGTTGCTCAAGCCACGAACTCTCGGTCATGCGACAGGGGGTGACCACGGC